CAGGGCTTATTCTTCCTTCCAAAACCAAAGATGCTTCTGTTATCAAAGTTCCATTTGACTGGCTTCTCCCACTCAAAAGCCTGTGCCTCCTGCTCCTTTATTTTCAAAGTCCACTCAGCTAGTAAGGAAAGTCCAGATTGCACAGCATTGACAAGATTTCAGTCCCTGTTGAGTGATATTTCCTCTGGGATTCTTTTCCAGAAACACAAAATTTTTCTCGCAGTGAAATGATCTTGGCCAGCTTGCTAATTATACAGTTTGCTTTGAGAAAAAAAAAACAAGCGGGCATGCCGGTTCACCGCTTCCTCTCTCCTTTTGGTCAGGTATTTTGACATTAGTTTCTTCAATATATTAATGAGGTTATTAATAAATCAAAGGCTTACTTTGCTGTTGTTCTGTTCTCCTTCCTCGGGAACTTGGGGGTGGAGTTTTCTCACAGCTTTCTGCCATAAGATATGGCTCCCGTCTCCGGTCTGTGCATGAGTGAATTTTCAGAAGGAAGAAAGACCCGTTGCTGCCAAATCTTCTACCTTCTGGGCTCACCATCTGCTTGGAGGTACCTCTCCTGGGCCCCCCTTCCATCCCCCCCTTTCTAGAGGGACGGCAGGCCAGGCGGTTCCAGTTTTTCCCCGGAGCTGTTCACCGGGTACTGCTGGCTTCACTGCAGTCAAGCTCCACCTCCAGATTCGCTCTGAGTTTTCCACCATCACTACTCTAGTCTCCATTCCACTCATGTCATCATCTCCAACTCCTTAGTAAACCAAGGAGCTAATCTGGCTGCACTTCGTTGGAGGGAATGCTTAGGAGCAATTCTGTCAATAGTTATGGTTATTTCCCTCCTCCAGCAATCAGCCAAGTTCTCAATAAGATCATCTGCCAAGTCAGCAGGACCTTCCCAAGAGCCATCAGGAAACCATTTGGATCCATAAGTCTCCCAGGGAGGATCAGTTGAATTGCTACCCCCTCCTGGAGAGTCTCTGCAGAGTCTCAGGGTTTCAATAGGTCTAAACCCTACCAGGTAGTGATCTGACCATGACAATGGAATTACCAAGAGTTCCTCCACCCCCACCCAGATCATCATCCTTCCCAGTACAGAAAACCAGGTCAAGAGTGTGACCTGTAATATGACTGGAGCCAGATCCCACTTCGGACAGCCCCTTGGTCATCATGGCAGAAACAAAGTCCTGGCCTCCATATGGTTGTTGAAGTCCCCCAGCATCACCACACCTGAGACCAGCTCAGCCAGTTCTGGCAGGGAGACTGTTGTCCAGTGAGGTGGGAAGGATGCCAATAGAATCCCTACTCTGTCCATGGCATGCAGTCTTACGTACATGCACTCAAACCCAGCAGTGGGGCAGGGCATCTGCTAAGGGTGGTTAAATTTTGATAGCCTATAGCAAATTATCCTCACCACCCAACCACCCAGGTCTAGCCTGATGCTGCACGAAGAACCCAGGTGAACAAGTGGAGAAAGCCTGACATCCCCAGTTTATCCAGCCAGGTCTCTGTAATGCACAACACGTCACTATATTCATCTAAAATCAAATCTTGGATGTTAGCTGTCTTACCTTTCAATGACCTGGCATTTAACATGCCTTCTAGAAACAGATTTCTCTAAAATCTGTGCTTTGACCATTATAGAGCTCAAAGCCAAAAGAAGTGATCTTTTTACTGCAACAGCTACAATGACATGGAGTTTCATTAATTCTAAACAATGAAAATGCAAAAAACATATATCGCACAGGAAACCATCACCTGAAATTGAAAAAATAAAACTGGGGAAGGTCACAGGAGGCTAAAGAAAGCAAAACAGAATCCCCTCTCCTCAAGATTATAGCATCATATGCAACCTACTTTCATCTCAGATTACAAACATGGGACTAGTTCACACAGCTAAAGTCTCCAGAGGTAGGTCTCGTGGCTGAACCTGTTTCATAGGCTGGGAAATAAGCTGATGGCATATGTATCTCCTGGTGTGATTTATAGACTTGAAACTGATTTAAGACATGGTCACACAGATCATTGCCATGAAGCTAAGAGACAGTGGTGGGGTGTTAAACAACAAACAATCTATTCTCTTTTACAGAGATAATACACCTTTGTGTACGGAGAGCATAGAGCATCCTTCTTCAACTTTACATCATTCATATCTGTTTGGACTACAAGTCTCATCATCCCCAACTTACAGTCATATTGTTTGTAGGGCAACAAACCTAGAAGGTGCCAGGATGAGAAAGGCAAGATATATTACCCCCTATTTGTATCCTGCTCTAAAATACAGATGCATTTGAGTCAAATCAAATTATGAAAGAAAAATGTACCTAATTATGCAAGAAAAATTGCATAATCAATGCAAACTTATGTCACTTTGATCAGCAAAATTTCCTGTATTTCATGCATGGAACACATATGCATTTTAGCTATGTTATGCTAATGTTATTTTGAAAATAATGAATGGATACTTTGAAGAGATCGATGTGTGATCATATTGCTCTTTATCCTTTTGGTTCCATTTTTGAGCCTTACCTTGAAGAAGCTGTGTTTCCTGTTACGTTGGCCTAGCCACAAGTTGCTTCCAGGTGTTAGATTTGTGTCTGGAGGATCTATAACACGTTCATAAATCCTGTAGAATAAAGGTTAATTTGTTACCCAAAAAGAATACTTCCTTTTGTTTAAAATCTTTAAAAAAATTAAATGCAAAATTTAATAATGCAAATACTTATTAAATACCAACCCATAACTAAGCATAACCACATGTTTCTAATTTTACAACTGAAAAATGAGAGGGAGAAATATTGATATTTCAGATACTGTACATATACCACACTACAGATGACCAAAGGAGGTTTACAGATCACTTTACATGCAAGTAAGCAGAACTTTTAAGAAGAAATACTCCATAGTACACCTAACACAATAATTTTTGAAAGCTGTTTTTTAAAGAATAGTTTTCAGACTGGTGATCACACTTTAACATTAACCATGGTTTGTTTCAAAACATGGCAACTTAGAACTATCCATAATGAAACTGTTTCTTTGAAATGAGTTGTATGTAATCATGATTTCTTCCCATGCTACAGGAATCTTTCCCAAGGGGTGAAAGCAGAGTATAATTTTCCCAATTTATAAAAAACGCGATAAATCCATCCCCAGAACTACCGCCCAATCAGCTTACTGGATACCAGCTCCAAGCTCTGCACCCGTCTTCTGCATCAGAAGCTGGCTAAATGGATGGAGGAAAATAATATCCTTCACCAGGAACAAGCAGGTTTTAGGAAGGGCCATAGCACGGTAGATCAAATCTACATGCTACATCATCTTGTATGCAAATACACCACCAGGCCATTCAAATGGCTGTTCACAGCTTTTATTGACTTCTCTGCATTTGACACAATCACCAGAAACCGCCTGTGGGATAAGCTCACAGAGACCAACATCGATAAGAGACTCCTAACCCTAATACAAGAACTATTCTCCAGCACAATATTGAGGGTAAGGATTAGCACAGATGGCAGGCTGACAAAGGAAATTCATACTAACAAAGGGGTAAAACAAGGGTGCTTACTCACACCCCTACTTTTTAACTTTTATATTAATAATATTGTAACAATTTTAAACCATCCAGATAATTTCCCCTCTTTAATTGGGAATTATAAGATTGCAAGCCTTATATATGCTGATGACATTGTATTATGATCTATGAACAAAAAGGGACTGAAGAGAAGCTTAAATAAGCTCCAAGGGTTTAGCCACCTAGAGCAACTAAAAATAAATTACACAAAATCTAAAGTGATAATTTTCGGGAAGCATCCCCCCAAATTTAGCTGGACTATAGGCAAAAATAAAATAGAACAAGTCCAGACCTTCAAGTACCTATGAGTGCATTTTGATGAGAAAAACTGCTGGAAATCTCAGATACAGAGCACGAAAATATCAGTTCAGAAATCTAGCCATGCTCTGGTCAAATTTTTCCATCTTAAAGGTGGTAAACTCATAACCCCAGCTTTAAAAATATTTTCTGGGAGGGTCATCTCTCAAATACTTTATGGAATTGAGATCTGGGGTATGAATCAGAACAACCTACACCAACTTGAAGTAGGACATAATATATTTTTGAGGCACATCCTCACGGCACCCCAGGGGACCCCAGCAGCTTTTGTTAGAACAGAGACTGGTATGGTGTCCATTAAAGCCAGGTCAACTCTAGCTATACTCTCTTACTATAAGAGGGTGATGGATATGTCCGACCACCGTCTACCTAAACATTGTATGCTAGATCAATGGAAGAATGGCGGCTGGGCAAATTCAGTACAAACCCTACTAAAATCTAAATCCCTCTCGACAGATATTTTTGTTTTTTTTCTGGAGGTTAAAAGAATGTTGAGGGACTGGCTCTACAAATTGGATAATGACCAGGACTTAGCCTTAATTCACTCTTCAAATTTCTCTCACTGGTACCATCTGCTGAAAACAAACCATTCAAGGGCGTAATACTTATATGCACTTACTTTTGCCTCCTTGAGAACCGTATTCACAGAACTCCATTACCAAACCATGCCAACCGCTGTCTTAGATGGCAGGTACATGAATCTCCCCAAGCATCTAATGCTGTGTATTTGCGGAGCAGGTGAGATAGAGGATGTTGTCCGCTGTTTACTTAACTGTCAGCTCTACCAAAACCCCAGAGAAAAATTCCTGGGTAACTTTTGGCTGCGCTACAGGACGAAAGCCTTCAGACAAAGGTGGTCAGGTTACTTTTGGATTGTGACCCATATATTACATACAGAACAGCGCTGTTTGCAAAAGCAGCCAGAAACCTTCATGCTAATTTCCTGAGAGCCATCACCATCAATTGTGTGGGAGACTCCCAGATATGGTCACTTATTATTTTATATGTCTGTGATTTTATTATGATTTTATTTGATTATATTTGTATTTTAAACAATTGAGACGGCTTTTAGCCAATACAATAAACTTAAACTTGAATGATTTCCTCCCTGGCTGACATGGGAAACTATCTTAAAGGTAAATGAGAAAGAAAAATTCCAAAGTTCTCCTTATGACTTGGTAGCAAAAAGTGCATTTAAATGAATGCATTATCTCTTTCACCAGGATTTTAAAAGTTGAACTTATTATATTTTATATATATTATATAATATTATTTATCATATATTGTTTTTATATTTACAACATGTATGAGAAGCTAAGGATGTAGTGACTCAACTGAGACAACACACTAAAACAGGGTTTGTGTTCACTTCACAAGCAAATAATGAGGTGTGTAAATCAGAATTTGAGGGAACATATCACGTCATATCAAGAATGGCAATAGAACATTCTTTAAATGAGGAAAGAAAAACAAATAAGTTTTTTTTAAAGGGCTGAGCAAATTGATGGAGTTTGAGATCATCAGTGGCTACTAATTCCCTCAGTACCAAAAAACAGAGTGCCTCTGTATATCAATTGCTGGGAAGGTAGTCCTGATTGTGGTTTCCCACAGACAACTGGTTGACCATTTGTGTGAACAGAACACTAGATTAGATAGGCACTTGTTCTGATCAAACATGGCTCTTCTTTTTTGAAAGTAGCTTCTTTTTTAACTGTAACTGTAATATTACAGCCACCTTGGGTCCTTTCAAGGAGAAAGGCAGGGTAAAAATATTTTAAATAAATTAATAATATAAAGTAATTAGAGCATGACATAGAAACCAGATAACAAATTCTTGTAAAATGTACTCAGAAGTCATCAGAATTATATCTTATATTAAGTCTGAGAAAGCGGACCTGTCCACAAAAGCTCACATTAAATTATAGCATTTGGGTTTTAAGGTGCCACAACATTTTGTCTTTTTTTTTTCCTGATTTATTGAGTCTAGTTCAGTTAAGTAAGTCTTCCCACATATCTACAAATCATGGATGGAGAAAGCATGTGCTTGTTTCTATTCACAAAGTCAATAAATAGATAATATTTAGAGAACCAGGAACCATCACTTGACTTTCATGTGGCTCTTCTTTTATGTTTTCATGAATACCTTTGCCAACTTCATTCATTCACTGCTATTTCTTAGATATTACAGCTGGGAGTCCTCTAAGATTTGCCATAGAATTCTGATGTTTTTATAATAAACCACTAAAGAAAGCAATTAAATACTTTTCTCATGAGGGAATGCTCATTCTTCCAAAGCAAGAGTCTGTCACTTGTAATCCGTGTGTTTAATAAGAAATGGAAGGTACTGCAACCATGTATTTTTAAATGAACATGCAAAACAGTTCTAAAGATACAAGTACAAGCTAATCAACTACCCACCATGTTATCATTTCATTTCCTCTCCAACTTGCTTTCCCACACATCCAAGCCTAGAATTGCTAAATGTAATCATTGGTGTGTATTATTGCTTGTCATTTGTTAGGAAACACATGCATTTTAAGAGACCCAGATTATCACTAACTTTTAAAGATTCCTAGAAAGAAAATAATTACTTAGTAGTGATAAGTCACATAAAGCCATTGATAAGGCCATATGATGTCCCAAACTTATTTTGACTGGAAAAAGTAGTAGAAATAGTAATATGAGCGTAAAAAAAACCTGACAACCCTATTTGGAAAGAGGGAAGAAACCAACAGAATATTTTCATGTATAACCTATAGTTTAGGAACATCAACTAAGCTCAAACAAATTGTTTGTATAATTATGGTGAGTAACTGCTTACCTGCATCGTAATTACAATCAACTCTAATTCCTCAGAATACTGTGCCACAAAAACACATTTGAAATTGTAATTACTAATGCTGTGGTAAGGTTTCCCCCTCACAACCTGCTCAGTAATAACCTGTCGCATTTCTCGTTGAACTAATTTACCTCTCTGAGAAGTGAAATAAGATTCCTTTCTCATAGCCTATATTTTAGAGATCAACAAAATGGTTCAAGTGTTCATTATCTCTATCAACATTTTCAATTGTATTCACCTCATTTCTTCAGGAACAAAAGCATAATTAAGCTGCTTTAAGTATTTGAATAAGACCTTTGACATGTTCATCCACAAAACCAGTCACTGAGTGACCTGTTCACATTAGAAATTCCATTCTACCTATATAGTCCATGTACCTTTATTTAAGGACAAGGCATTAGCTCTAGAGAATTTGCAGTCTTTTCAAAATGTTGGTCAATATTCCATAAAGAACACTATCTTCTGTTAACAGCTAAAAGCTTAAAACAAAGGAATGTACTACCTCCCCTCCAACACTTCTTACAAGGGAATATTGGATTTTTATTAATTTGGCCAAGTGTGGCTCTAAAGGGACTGCACAGTATCTGTCTCCAATGCCATAAGAATAACGAATTTTTCAATGTAAAAGCACACAAATCGACATGTATTATGTGGCAGGTCAATAGCACAATGTAAGGAAGACAAATGAGGCATAGGCTGAAATGGTTTCTCTCAGGCTTTGCTGGAAATTGAACAAAGGCTTTGCCCTTTATGGAAGAAGGTTATAACAACCACCCCATCTTTCCTGGCATTCTTACAGAAAATCCAATTCACAATCCCATCCCGTACCTAGCAAAAGATGCTTCACTTTTCTCTGAGTGTCATTCTGTTCTTAATTACCTTGCATCCACACACT